CAATCCACTCACCTCAGCCTCCCAAAGGCGCGGGATTACAGGCTGAGCCACTGAGCCCGGCATATTTCAGCCCATTTAAGATGTACTTTTAAGTGAGGATAAAAACATTGAGAGAACAGTATGTACAGTATGTTCCCATTTGGATAAAATAGGAGGGGTATATATATGATTGTTTGTGTCTAGATTACTTTAGGAAGAATATTCAAGATATCCGAGAAACTGGTTAAAGTGGTTGCCTCCTGGATATAGAACTCGAAGCCTGGGGATGAGGGATTCTATTTAGATAGACTTTTTCTGCTTGAATTTATTACCATCTACATATGTTATCTGTTCAAAACAAAAAATGCTTTAATTAAAATTTCTTTGAAAGAATATTTAACCCACCTCAGTGAAGCCTAGGCATCTCAGATAAGAGATTTTTCTTTCTCATTTTCTAATCTGATTTTTCTTGTTTTGGCTCCATTTTATATTAATAACCAAATTTCTGAAAATACTTTCTCCCTATACTTTGGGCATTAACCAACTCAAAATGAATTTCCCATTCTATTTTAAATACTCATTTTAAAATACTTAAGTGTTCAAGGGAAATGTGACCATGATTTTCTTACTCAGTGTTTCTGACTTGAGGAACAGTGGCTGTTTGGGAATGATGGCGACTTGCAAGAAGCCAGGTACTTATCACCTTCATGCGCTTTCGTCCCCTTCAGAAAGGAAGACTAAAAATTGCTTCTTGCCACTCAAAAAGGCTTGGAGTTGGAACTGAGCATTTGACCAAGTGTCATACATATTTCCCTGTTTACACGTTAAACACACCTGTTTGAGTGATGTTATGTCTACAGATACATATGTGATCATGCCTTCCCTTCCATGAGGTGCATCTACATTGAAGAGGGACTGATCTACTTTATCTTGATATTCTGTCTTTAGCTACTTTTATTTGTGGTAGGTAGTGTAGATTGATTCCCTATTCAGCATACTTTTAATTTTAAACTTAAAATCAACTTTTTGAAAAGTTCTCAGTCACTCAAACCATGTCACATTTGGTAGGGCATTTTTTAGTGCAAGCTTCCCTGTAGATTGCTATTTCGCCTTACAAGATTGCCCTCCCTCGTAGCTCTGATACTCCCTGAAACTCACAGTCTGAAGTTACCAAACTTGATGAAATCTACCTTCAAAATGTATTTCATTTTTTTAAAATGATAGCTTAAACAGTTGAGTTTGTCTTTTCTACTTTATTTTTAAAACATGGTTGTGGGCCAGACATGGTGGCTCATGGCTCACACTAATCTCAGCACTTTAGGAGGCTGAGGCGGGCGGATTGCTGAGCCCAAGAGTTAAAGACAGCCTGGGCAACATAGCAAAACCTCACCTCTACAGGAAAAAAAAAAAATTAGCCAGCCATGGACGTACACACTTGAAGTCCCAACTACTAAGGATGCTGAGGTGGAAGGATCACCAGAGCTCAGGAAGTCGAGGCTGCTGCGAGCCATAATCATTGTTATTGTGTCACTGAATTCAGCCTGGGCGATGGATTGAGACCTTGACATAGGTAGGTAGATAAATAGATAGATAGATAGATAGATAGATAGATAGATTTGTAGTTCCCTAGCCTCTCTTATTTCTAGTTCCATAATAATTATATTTTCACAGGTTGAGGGGAAATGGAGCTTATTTTG